TTTGCTTTTTGTTTAGTGCTTAGTAGATGGTTTAGAGGAATTACCTTTGCAAAGAACTTTTCAAATTTATAGGAAGAACTACACTGCTCAGTTATTTTTAGAAAAAAATGAGTAACTCATAATCACCTCAACAATTGTCTACTAATAATCTCCCATAGGTTTTAATTATGTTAGCTCTGGGAGAAATGCCCAAGAAATAATCCAACACAATAGAGACCTTCTAGGAGCTATGAACCAATTAAAGGATCGTTGAGGAACACATACAATGTGAAGGGAAAACGGAGCGTTAACTAAGTGCCATTAAAAAACAAAAACACTGGTTTGAACCCCAGCGTTCGTAGTGGTGTTATTTACAGTGTTCGAGACATGGAAGCAACATGTGTCTATCATCAATAGATGAATGGATAAAGAAGGTGTGTGTGTGGTAGGGCGGTGGAATACTGTTCAGCCATTAAAAAGAATGAAATTTTGCCATTTAGCAACTACATGGGTGGAATTGGAGGGTATTAATAATGCTTAGTGAAATAAATCAAAGACAAGTACTATTTGATATCACATATATAGAATCTAAAACATAAGACAAACTAATGAATATAACAAAAAGGAAACCAGATACAGAGAACTAACTAGTGGCTACCAGTGAGAGGAGGGAAGAGGAGAAGGGCAAGATAGTAATAGGGGAGTAACAAGTACAAACTACTATGTATAAAATAAATAAGCTACAAGAATGTATGGTACAGCACAGAGGATATAGCCAATATTTTATAATAACTATAAATGGAGTATAACCTCTAAAAGCTGTGAATCATTAATGTTCACCTAAAATGTATATAATATTGTTTCATCAACTATACCTCAGTAAAATTCTTTTTTAAAAAAACAAACGATAGTTCCCTAACTAGAGCAGTCAGTTGGTGCACTGGGGCTGTTCAGGAAGCCAGCAAAGCCATCAGAAGATAAAAATGTAATTGCACATACTACAGAAGAGACATGAACTACACAGACTTCAAGTTTATGTGATACCTTTGGAAGTTTGAAAATTATGTGAAATTTTAATTTGATAGAGAAATCTTAAGGCTTCAAAATAGATCTAAGAAAAATTAGTTATCACTAGATGCTAGACGTGCCCACATTCACTTTCCTTTTCAGTGCAGGCCAAGCTGAGCAGATGATTTGATGCTTTCTACTCAGGCTGTTACCTTCTTTTAGACATTTGCAACTGCACTGGAGATACTGTGCCATGAGGAACAGGTGATTCTGAGGCTGATGTATAAATAACAAAGCTTGCAGTTGTGAGAAGAGTCACGAGCTAGTCCTTATTCCAGCCAGCTAGCTAAGACATCTGTCTTCAGATGTTCTCACCATCCTGTCAAACTCAATACAGTCAAAGGTTAAGTTCATAATTTTTATCAGTTTACCTCCTGTTCATGGGACCACCATTCTCATTGTCCAAGATCCCTGCTGAGCCTCGTAATTTTTACTGCCTGAAGCTAACATTGCTGGAGCCTCTGTATTCCTATACAACTGTTGTCCTTTACCACTGCCCCAGTAACAGCCACCACTCACTCTTGCTCAACCAGCTGGCTCAGGCTAGTTTATGATTTCAGATGCGCCATTTAATCACAACTGTCTTCTAATGGAAAACTCTGATGCTTCGGAAGGCATTATATCCGGTCTCCTTACTACCTGCTTGACTTTTGGGCTCTCCAATGTTAATCCCTATCCAGTCTGTTCTCTCTCCACCTACCCATCTCCCTACCTGCCGCCCATTCCCAACAGTCCCCTTTCTTTCAGCTGGATGGCTTAGACCCATGTGTCATGCTCCCACACCCCCTTCTCCAGACCCAAACACCACCATGCATAAGAAAGCACTTTGTAAATTGGCTGTAGCCCACAAATGCTGCTAATAGTGCATTCTGCAAAGCCTACCTCTTTAAACCTTCCCAGACCTGTCTTTCTCGTAGTACCACAATTTAGCCCTTGATTTATAGTGTTCTGAAGTGAGAATACATATACCTCCTAGCCCAGCAATTCTAACAAAGCATTTTATCTATTTTCATCTCAATTTCTGGTTTGGGCACTAATTTGGCACTTAATTCATAAGCCTGTGTTGTTACATGGTTGTTCCTTATTCAGCCATGTGTGTATCATTCCTAATTACGATGCATCATTTTTGTAGATGGTTGTATAGACAGACAGAATAGGAAAACCAGTAATGTATGGTATAAATGAGGCCTCATGAAGGTTATAAAGGTTGTACTAGCTGTGTTAAATGTGTTGGTTAGTTTTCTTTTTCTGTTGCTGATGTTTAATAGAGCTTGTCTTCAGATCAACTAGTTGTTGGACTTTTTTGTGGCAGGTGTGACTGAGGATTAAATTTCACTAAGATCAGTGTTACTGGCTCATCCAGGTGTTCTCTTTCTTTTTGAATCAGTTTTAATAATATTTCCTAAATATATGCCTTTTGATGATTGGTATCATAACCCCACTTACAGATGGAAAACTGAAGCTTAAAACCAGCACTGGGTGCTATAGAAGAAAAAGTTATGATGGTTCCTCAGAAAATTAGAAATAGACATACCATATGACCCAGTAATTCTACTTCTGGATACATATCCAAAAATATTGAAAGTAGGGACTCAAAAAAATATTTGTATACCCATGCTCATAGCAGCATTATTCACTTTAGCAATTGCAATGCCCATTGATGGATGAATGGATAAACAAAATGTGATGTATATATACAGAATGGAATATTACTCAGCCTTAAAAAAGGAAGAAAACTGTGTCACATGCTACATCATGTTGAACCCATAGGACATTATGCTAAATGAAATAAGCCGCTCACTGAAGGACAAATACTGAAAGATTCCACTTATATGAGGTGTCTAGAGTAGTAGAACTCATACAGACAGAAATTAGAATGTTGGCTGCCAGGATCTAGGGATAGAGAGGAGTTAGAAATTAGTGTTTAATGGGTTCAGAGTTTGTTTTTCAAGATGAAATGAGTCTTGGAGCTGAAGGTGGTGATGATTATACAACAGTGTGAATGTACCTAATACCAGAGAACTGTACACTTAAAAATGGTTAAAATGGTAAGTTTTATGTTATCTGTATTTTACCACAATTAAGAAACAGTGATGGATTAATAGGCAAGTTAAGTAAATGCTTGGGCCACCAAAAATAACTTTTTTAAAAATCTGATGTGTCTATAAAAGTACCATGGGAAAAATATGATTTTCAGTGAATGATGTTGCATGTCTTTTAAGATATGGATTTAAAAATTTTTTAAATTATTTGGTAGTGAGGGAACGGGTATCCACCTTTAGGCCATTGGGGCCTATAAAGTGGTGTTGTGAGATTTAGCAAATAAAAAATACAGAATGTCATACAATAGTTAAAAACATGTTCCTTGTTTATGTGAAAATCAGATTTAACTGGCTGTCTTGTAGTTTACCTGGCAATCTGATTCTAAAGACCTGAATTCTACCTTGCTGAGAGAGGTTGAGGAACCAGCATAAGGCCCTGCAGTGAGAGTCAGAGGAGGTCTCTGACCTGGAGCCCAGGTTCTTTACCATCATGAGGAGACATCTAAACCAAGCTGGCTCTACTTGCGCTCTGTAGAGGCCAAAGGGGAGAGAGCTGGGTACTCCCTTGAGGGGATCTTCTAAGAGAGGCCTTGTAAGTAGTTATAACCATGAAATGCCCAAACTCTGTTTAAGCTTTATTAATAAGTGGGGAGGGGAAGTAGAAGAGGAGAGGGACAGAGTGCACAAAGCCCATGGCAACTCTACCGTTGGATCTTTTCCTCACCCAGTGTGGTGGACCAAGGTCTAGAATGTCCAAGCCATCATATACCCCTTAGATGGCTTCCATAGAGACATGAAGAGAAAGGCCACTCAGGAGACAGTGTGGGGGCGAGGCCTCTTACGCATTTTCACTACTGAGATGGCCAATTCCCTTTTAGTAATCCAGCTGCTCAAGTGAGCTGCCTGAAGACTGCAATTGTCCGCATTCCTTACATTGCCAGATGGCAGAGAACAGTCAGCACCTCCACAATTGGCTGCTACCTTTTTCTAAAATCTTCATGCGGTTATTTATTGGGAAGGAATTACAGATTTCAGAGACATCAGCCAGGAGGTACAGATTGCCAGAAGGGTTCAGAAACATGAGCAAGGCATAGAAGAGAGGGACCGGGCCCAGGACCGCAGTTGCTTTCCTTGTTTACCAAATTAAATCTCTCCCAGAAATAGAAATTGAACCTGTCACCTTCCATATTATAAAAGTAGCTCGTTGCTAAGAGTGGTAGAGACCTCTCTTCAATTAAGCATTTGCTAAGTGAAATAATTTTTCTGAAGCATATGGATTAGTAGCTGTTTTGACCCCAGACATGGCCACAGAGCAGAACTAAAATACATTTGGAGGGAACTAAATGAGCCTTCAGAAATCTTAGTTTAAAACCTCCTAGTTCATTAAGAGAACATTTATTTATGGCTTTTAAATTTTCCTTCTTTTGAACTTACCTGTATTCTCCCAGAAAAAGTAGCTGATCAAGGAGAACTGTTTCACCCCAAGGGGTGAAAAAAAAGAGCTAACTAGGTATGATGCCGCTTTTTTTTTTTTTTTAAATCCTGGAAAATGTTCCGTTAGGTTAGGTCCTGACAAAACGAGGATATAATTAGAGGAGGTTCACTCTCCTTCCTGTGCACCCTTCGCCCTCTAGGCTCTCTGGAGCCTGTTTAAAAGGCTTACGGGCAAACAGCTGGTGCCCTCTGCTGGAATGTAACCAATAGTGTTGCTTGTCCATTATAGAAATTAGAGCCTAAAATCTTGGTAAAGAAATGAAAGTATTCATGCTCTGCTCTAATCTATTATAGTCTGTAGTGATATCTTTTTTTAAAGCTCAAAATGTAAAACATGAAATAATGTCAAGTAACAGAATATTCAATGTTTTAAAAGATTCATTTTAAAAACCTTAAAAAAAGAGCCAATGAATTCAGTTTACATTTTAAACTATTTAATAGAGGCATTTGTTGTACACATGGTTTTAGTTTAACATAAACACAAAATTTCTCTCTGGAAACACTTAACCTGAGTTGGAAATGAATTCTGAACTGGAAAGATTTTAATTCACGAAATCATTCTCCTCAATATGTAAGTGACGCTGCCCAACTGAGGTCTCCCCAAAGTTCAGGACTCAGTCCCAGGACAGGAATGAGGGAAAACTCCCTGTAGGTCAAAAGCTCTGCTGAAGTCATAAAATTGCACTTGTGGGCCCTTAATCAGAGTGAGCTTTCTCAGACAGCCCCGGAAGGAGGTCTGGCTGCTCAGGCAGTTTTGCTTTACATCAGCTGTTTAGGAAAGAAGAGAAGATACATCTTGCTTAATTTTATTACATGGGTAGCGCAATAGGAACAAAAATAATTTCATGTGGTTTCTACACTGAAGTTAGAATATTTTTCTACATAAATGGCTTCATTGGTAGGGGAATGCATAGAAAACTTAATACATGATATTTTCAGGCATTGTTGTGACTTAAAAAGTCATAAAAGGGATCTTTATTTTATTATCATTTGTATCAATTACTTGGAACATCTAAAATGCATAATTCGAATCCAAAAATTGATATGAGAGGATAAGACACGTTTGCCCTTTAAAATGACTGCCTGCCCCTAAAATGATTCCCCACTCTGGGCATCACTGGAGATGATCTGCCTCAGTGAAGTCATCCAGCATCACATCTGATGTTCTCTGCATCTTACCAAATGATCAAGTTATGTGTGTAGATAATTTCCCCAAGAATTCCTAGGTGTTTGAAATAGACTTTCTGAAATAGTAAAGGATTTGTCACTCAAGCCATGTATTTTTTTCATCCCTTTTCTGTATCCACCTGAACTAAGACTTGCCCCAGTGGCAATGCCCCTCAAAGTGAATGAGCAGAGCAGACATACGTACCAGGATAGCCACCGACATAAATAGGATTGTTGGTGTCGGCAGAGGTGGACTGGGTGTGTGAACTTTCAGCTCGAACTGCATTCCCATCGATAATCAGAACCACACGATGTTTGCTTTTGTTTGCTTTAAGAGTGTGCCATTTTCCATCGCAGAGGGTATTTGGAGCTTTGGGTTCATATGTGGCTGTTATCCTGCCAGCACCGTTGTTAACATGAAACAAGAGCTAAACAAACAACAGATAGAAACAAATTATCATGGTGAATTTTTCCATATTTAAGGAACACAGTCCATTCATATAATGTTCTTGGAGTGGATAAAATCACAGCATTCTGCTAAAAAGGAGGGATAACTATGAAAACCAAAAAATGGTTTTGAAAAATAGCTGCTTAAAGGATTCTGATACTATGCTATTCCTGAAATTTCAGAATGGACAAAGACCACCTCCCTGGGAACAAGCCTAAGGCACAATCTTAGCGTTGCATCCTCAAATCAGTGCCTCATTTTCAGGACAACAGAAACTGATGGGTTTACCAAAGATGTCAGTCTTAGCAGTTGCTATGGCACCTATAAAGAAACATTTACTAACTCCCTTCTAACAAACTACAGATGCTCTACTACAGCGCATGGTAACACAAAAAATCAGACGAGCAAAAGATGGGGTGGGGAGGGAAGAATTGTAAGTATCCTGTTGTAAGGTTCTTGTGCTATATGTGAAGCTACTCAATGTTATTTCAAGGTAGACTGTGACAGATTAAAAATGTATACTGTAAAGTCTTGGGCAGCCACTAAAAATAATTTTAAAAGAAAAATAAATAATCCAATAATAGAGGTAAAATATACATCAGAAATTACTATTTTTTGTAGTTATTACACTTCTGATAACATTTTCGCATGTCACATAAAAATGTGCAAATGGATACAAAAAGTTTCAAGATGATTTTGAAGTATAGGTGTGGGGAAAAGTTGGCTATAAGCCACAGTGTAGCAGTATGACATGGAGGCAGTTTTGTTTCCACATGAAGATGACTTAAAGGGGAAGAGACTAAGGGCAAGAGGTCAGGTGGTGACTTTCTTATATCCTCCCCACCCCCACCCTAGGATATCCTAGGGACCAAAGTCCCAGTGGAGAGTAAGTAGGGAAATGTGAGAAACAAGCTAATAAGCTGAGGGGAATCAAGAGACCTGTTCCTTGCCTTCTAGGAGGCAGCAGCTCAGGAAAAGTCAAACATTGTAGTCCCACAACAATACAGGGTGACCACAGTGCAGGAAAAATGGTGGCAAAACACGGTAGGTACAGAGAGGAGCTCAGAGATGCCCCAGGGCCAATGAGTGGTATATTCTTGCCTCCTTTGTCAAAGATGAGTTGATCATAGATCTGTGGATTTATTTATGGGCTCTCTATTCTGTTCCATTGATCCATATGTCTGTTTTTGTGCCAGTACCATTCTGTTTTGATTACTGTAGCTTCATAGTATTGTGTGAAGTCTAGGAGGGTTATTTCCCCAGCTTTGTTCTTTTTCTTCAGTATTGCTTTGGCAATTCTAGGTTTTTTGTGATTCCATATATTCCATGTTTGTTCTAGTTCTGTGAGAAATGTTCTGGGTAATTTGATAGGGATCGCATTAAATCTGTAGATTGCCTTCAGCAGTATGGCCATTTTAACAATATTAATTCTTCCAGTCCAAGAACATGTGATATCTTTCCATTTCTTTAAGTCATCTCTAATTTCCTTAATCAGTGTTTTGTTGTTCTCCATGTATGTCTTTCACCTACGTGGTCAGATTTATTCCTAAGTATTTTATTTTTTGGATGCAAGTTTAAAAAGGGATTATTTATTTTTTTTGCCTGCTGTCATTGTTAGTATAAAGAAATGCAGCTGATTTCTATGTTAATCTTGTATCCTGCTACCTTGCTGAATTCTTTTATCAGCTCTAGTAGTTTCTGTCTGGAGCTTTTAGGGTTTTCTATATATAGTATCATATCTGGATAGAGTGACAATTTAACCTTTTCTCTTCCAATTTGGATGCCTTTTCTTTCATTTTGTTGCCTGACTGCAGTGGCCAGGACTTCCTAAACTATGTTGAATAGAAGGGATGAGAGGGAGATCATTGTTCCAGATTTTAGTGGGAAGGCTTTCAGTTTTTCACTGCTGAGTATTACACTGGCTGTGGGTTTGTCATGGATAGCTTTTATTATGTTGAGATGTGTTCCCTCTATACCCACTTTGGTAAGAGTTTTTATCATAAATGGGTGTTGAATTTTCTCAAATGCTTTTTCTGCATCTATTGAGATGATCATGTGGTTTCTGTCCTTTCTTTTTTTGATGTGGTGTATGTATCACGTAGATTGATATGCATATGTTGAACCAATCTTGTGTCCCCGGAATGATACCTACTTGATCATGGTGTATAATCTTTTTTATTTGCTGTTGGATTGTGTTTGATAATATTTTGTTGAGGATTCTTGCATCTATGTTCATCAGTGATATTGGCTTGTCATTTTCTTTGTAGTGTCTTTGTCTGGTTTTGGTATCAGGGTGATAGTGACTTCATAGAATGAGTTTGGGAGTATTCTCTTGTCCTTAATCCTTTGGAAGAGTTTGAGAAGGACTGGTATGAGTTCTTTGTCTTCCTTTTCTTTTAATTTAAGTATAGTCAGTTACACTGTGTCAATTTCTGGTGTACAACACAATACCCAAGGCATGCATATACATACATTTGTTTTCATATTCTTTTTTGTTAAAGGTTATTAGAAGATATTGAATATAATTCCCCTGTGCTGTGCAGAAATTTGATTTTTATCTCTTTTTGTATATAGTGGTTAACATTTGCAAATTGCAGAACTCCCAAAGTTATTCCTTTTCTGTTTGTTTTGTAGATGAATTCATTAGTGTCCTCTTTTTTCTTTTTTAGATTTCACATGTGTGTGATATCGTATGGTATTTCTTGTTTCTCTTTCTGGCTTAGTTCACCTAGAATGACGATCTTCAGGTCCATCCATGTTGCTGCAAATGGCATTATTTATTTCATTTCTCTCTCCTTCTGTGGTAAAGGAGAGTCTTGCTGGGTAGAGTATCCTAGGTTGCATCTTTTTTTCATGCAGGACTTTGAATTTATCTTGCCACTCCCTCCTGGCCTGCAATGTTTGTGTGGAGAAATCAGCTCAAAGCCTTATGGGGGTTCCCGTGTAACTCACTCTTTGTTTTTCTCTTGCCTCCTTTAGAATCATTTCTGTATCTTTATCTTTGGCCATCTTAATTGTAATAAGCCTTGGTGTAGGTCTATTTGGATTCTTCGTGTTTGGGACCCTCTGTGCTTCCTAGACTTGGGAATCTGATTTTTTTTTTTCAGGTTTGTGATTTTTCACTTACGATTTCTTCAAATACCTTTTCAGTCCCCTTTTCTCTTTCTTCTCCTTCTGGGATCCCTATTATGTGTATATTGGCATGCTCTGCTTTATCCCACAGTCCATTTCATTAGTTTCCACTTATTTTTCTGTCATTCTGATTGGGTGACTTCTAGCTTGTCTTCTAAGCGAGATTTGTCCCTCTGCATTGTCTATGTGCTCTTCACTGCTTTTAGCTCAGCTGTCATCTCAGCCATTGAATTTTGTGTTTAATTGGCTCCTGTTTATAGTTTCTGTTCCCTTTTTATAGTATTCTCTGCCTGTATTCATAGTCTCTCTTACTTCCTTCAGTGCTTTTATCGTCCCCTTTTTGAAGACTATCAAAGTGTATTTCATTTATCGTTCTTTTAAGGGGACTTCTCTTATTTTAATTAGGTTACCCTGCTGTTTCATTTTACTTATCTCTCTAGCACTATGGATTATGGAGTATCAGTTATCTACTGTGGTGTTGAAGGACTTTTTTTTTTTATTAAAGAGGATGCATTCCTGTGTAGACTGCCTCTAATAGAGTGGTTGCTATGTCTTTCTTTGGTGTGTGTTGGCTGTTACCCCTTTGGGGGTGTGGTCTGTGTTGTGATGATCAGAGCCTGCCCTGGTTGTTGAGTGGGGCCCTCCTTTTTGTTTTATTTCTCTGGTGATGGTTGTATTTCTCCCTTTTTATTTCTTACTTTGTTAGTGTCCTCTCTTTTCTTCTTGGTGAGCCTGGCCAGAGGTTTGTCAATTTTGTTTACTCTTTCAAAAAAACCAGGTCTTGGTTTGATTGATTTTTTTCTGTTTTTTTTTTAATCTCTATTTTATTTATTTCCTCCATGATCTTTATTATTTCCTTCCTTTTGCTGACTTTAGGCTTTTTTGTTCTTTATCTAATTTTAGGTGTAGGTTAGGTTGTTTGAGGTTTTTCTTGTTTTTTGAGGAATGTCTGTTAGGATTATCTATTTTTAAATATTAACTGAACCTTTTCTCCATTCCTTGAAAGTGGATAATTGGAAGTTTGGACCTAGATATTTGTTTCTCAACTCCTTGGTCTCTGACACTAGGGGAAGGCTGGGGACTCTATCGAGATTAAGCACTTACCTTGCCATTAACAAGCTCTAAACCAATGGCGTCCACTTTGGCGCTGCTGATACCCAAGAGGACACCATTTTCTGAGGAGGTGCGAAACTCCAGTGTGATGTTCAGATCTGACTGCACTTTGTAGCCTTCTTTGACTAGAACAAGCAAGGAAGCCCCCAAGTTAGTTGTGGGGCCCGGCCCAGCCCAGGAAGGTCCAGGCTCAGAAAGGCCAAGGGCTGGCGGGCTGTTTGGGCTTTGGGGCTTCTGAATGAGGTTCAAGAGACCTGGCTCCACTTTGGGAATGACTAACAAGTCACTTCCACCCGCTGCGCCTCAGCTCGCACATCTGTAAGATGAAGCCATGCTTTTAAAGACAGAGTCAGCTGGGCGAAACCTGAGTAAAGCTGCAGCAGGAACAGTCTCTCATCTAGAGCCACACAGGTAAAAAAATCAAAAGGGATTTGAGCCATATAATCCCTTCATCGTCTACCCAGGAACAGTGCACTTTATTTTCCCAGTAGCTACTTACTGGCTTTGTCATCTTTTGCTGAGTGCCTTAGAGTCCACACTGGGCTTTTTTTTTTTTAAGTGGTGTTTTAATTGAATTTTTATTCAGGTGTTTAAAAAAAGTGACATAATAGGGGATATTAGCAATAGGAGGTAGTTGTTACTACGCCCAGGGCCGAGGGAAAAATGGGAGAAGCTGGTGTTACTAGAGTTTGGAAGCACACAGTGAAGGAGAGAATCCTGCTAGTGTTTCCCCTTCCCACTCGCATCCCTAGCCTTCCATTGGAGCCTTCCTGGAAGCCCCAGGGCAAAGAAGCCCAGAAATTAGTTCCCTCTGATACAAAGCAGAACAGGAGCCTGGAGCATGGCTCTGAGTACAGACGGTAAGTTAACCAGCAAATGAAGCTTCTAAAAAGGGGAGAGAATGTAAGATATGTTACAAGGGCTAGATCTAAGTCTTGAGGAGTTTAAGGCATTTTAGAGAGTTAAATTACCCTACGTATAACTGATTAATATTTCAACAATCTAAATGAAGTTAACTTCTTCATCAAATTTGACTTGCATTTGGCTGACTGGTTTAGACATTTTATGTTCCGGATTTTTAATGCCAAGGCCTTTATTACCTTGGACAGTGAGAGCATGCATGCCTTGCATAAATTTGGGGAAAGTACAGATGAAACCAGCACTGCACGTTGCCCTCTGTCAGGAGCAGCACCACTCCTGGTGGGAGGCAGCTATCTGGATACCACAGGTCAGCAGGCTTTTCCACTAGAAGCTGAGAAATCAGAATACGCTGGAACAGTTAAGGAAATGTGGTCTTACTGCAACTAACTAGTTCAGTGGGTCCCGTCCTATCATATAGTTCTTGGATCCGTATCATCTCAGAGTGCAGGTGAATTCCCAAGATTTCTTTCCAGCTTGTTGATAATACATACCAAGGGCTGCATATCCACTTCCTTCAAAGAAAGTTCCTTTCTGAGCTGCAGCATAGCACCTGCTGACTGCAAATGCAGACTCTGCATTGTCCTTGCCCAGCTGTTTGCCATTTACTGTCACCTCCCCAATGCAAGCAGGGATGCTGTGGGTGACCTAAGCCAAGTGACATGAGAGTAGATGAGGGTGAGAACACCAAGATGGGGAAGCACAAATTTTTCCTAACCTTCAACAAAACATTAAAATACTATCAGTTTTAAAATCTAATTGTCACAATACTTCACTGTCTAACCTAAACCTATTATAATGCAGTAAAAGAGTTTTTCTATTATAATCTACAAATACAAATTTGCTGGAGTTTCCTGAATTGTAATAGGGTTAAGTGACTGTGGAAAAGGAAATGTAAATCTTCATTAAGTAACAGGCAGGAAGGCTAGTCAGGCTTCAAGGAGAAAACCCAACACTTGATTTAGGGCCATGGTTTGAAAGGTTTGCCTCTTGCAGCCAAGCCCCAGGCCCAAACAGGATAATTTAAACACAAACATAAATATATTCCAAAACCTCAATAAAGGCAGAATGGGCCCGTGGAGAAAATGCTGCTTACATTCCCAATGTTCCTGGCCCTGTACTCAGAGGGAAGGCCTCCTAGGTACAGCTTTCCTTCCACATCCAGCGTGGTAGCATCTCCCACCGTGGTTACCATGGCAGACTCCTGGTTGTCAACCATCATGAAGCCCTTCTTTTTAAAGTATTCTGTCTTGACCTAGAGCAAAATGGAAACATGCGTAATTTCTAAGGAATGTGAGAAAACTAACAGATGTTGGTTTGCAACATCTGTTCACTATAGCAGTAATAACCTGAGTGAAATCTTAAAGGATGGCTCAGGTTTTCACAGTTGGTTTGAGAGGAGGCTGAGCCTGGAGCTGGCACAGGTGAAGTGGCTCCGAAGAACATGCTCCGAGTCCTGGTTCTAAGATCACAAACGTTGCGATGTCAGCTTCAGCCCATTCTTACCACTCGTGGGCTTGATTTACTTCTAGTCAGATCGAG